CCCTTCTTGTATGGCGGGAGGATCTTCATTCAAGAATTTCGCCAAGTTGAGGGTTGTGAGATAAAACAACATTTTCTGTTGCCACCTTTTGAAATCAACCCCGACAAATTTATCCGACTTTTCCCCATGTGAAACGGAGTTTGAATGTACGATAGTAGGGGCACCCACAACCGGAGGAATCACATTAGTAGTAGTTGTATTCACAACGGGAGGAATCACACCGGTAGGAACACTTCCTTTAGAAGTTCCCATGTTCAAAGTTTCATTCGAAGTAGTATCGGTATTAAGAACCGTATTCATTTCTGTTTATGTAAAACAGAAGATTAACCAAGAATAGAAGTGAAGAAAAAGTTAAACTTAACAAGTTTAACCAAACAAGAATGTCACTTTCACAAAATTTATAGAATTTCGACTTAAGATTGTTGGAGGAATTTTGTGAATAGTGATGCCAAAATAAGTATAATGATGGTTTGTAAATCCGTGCCGAAAATTGGACAGAGTAACGGTAAAGAAAACACAAACAAGAAGAAGAAGAAAGTAGGGACAAAGCCGAGGCAAAAGTTGGACTCTTTGTCTTTAAGTCGAATTTGCCCCGCAACGGTGCCTACGGATTTCGGCAATCGACTCCCAAGATACAACGGCTACACTTGTGTTTGTAGCACTCCAAAACACAAGTACAACGAACCAAATTTAGGCTTATGTACTCCAAGGATGAAAAGAAGGAAAATCAAAATAAATGAAATGATTTTGATTTTGGATAGAAGAGAGGATGAGAGATGTTTTGCATATCAAATTGTGAGGAATAGGACACCCAAAGGGTCCTATTTATAGACCACGAAAGGGTGTGGACGAAATGGTTGAGGCCAAACCATGCACCCTTTCCAAACAATGCACCTTTATGAAAAGGTGTCTATTCACTAATGGCCTTTATGAAAAGGTGTCTATTTACTAATGGTTGATGCCAAACCATGCACCCTTTCCAAACAATGCACCTTTATGAAAAGGTGTCTATTCACTGATTTTTGTCCTTTTTCGTAATTTCTCAATCATCCGATATTGGTTTTCGAAATGCCAAATATACCAAACAATTTTGCCTAAACGGATTGAGTCGAGCTTTTGAGTATTTGGCCGAAGTCGATACGAAATCACTTTAATCGATTTTCAATTCTCGATTTATTTAACCAATATCCAACAAGTTCCACGATCATTTAGGGTGATTGTTCAAGGGAATTTGGGCCGGGCTTTTGTATGAAATAAAGAGGAAATTGCATAAAACCAGGTATTAAAACTTTCAAATTCAAAATTAGGGGATGAAGTTTACTTATGCAAAAATCTGGTATTATACATAATTAACACATCCAATTCAATTTAAACCCTACTCATTTCCCCCAAATTCTTTCCTTATCATATCCCGTCTCTCTCTTTATCTCTCTACCTTATCCTTCGACTATCATCGCCATCAAGGAGCAACTGCCATCGGAGACACCTCCGACTCCGAATGCCGACACGAGACCATTAGAATTCAGGCCATTTTTAAACTCTAATAATCTATTCTCACTCTAACTCTCCATCTTCTCTTCATCTTCCTGTCCGTATTTTCCTCGCGATGCAGATCTACCCACTCCAGCGAGCTGCGGTGGTGAAATGAATAGGCTATGGTGGTTGTTGAATTTGGTGGTAGTGGTGTGATTTTTTGGCATGTTTTGTTGCGTTTTTAAGGTGGTGGCGGCAGGTTTGTGGATTCTTTGGTGGGGTGGTGGTTAGGTGTGGTGTAAATGGAGATAAAGGAAATGGTGGTGGTGGTGGTGTGCTGTTGGTGGTGCGTTGTTGGTGGTGCGTTGTGCGATGGTGGTGGCGATGGTTGTTGAGGTGGCGATGACAGTGACGAGTGGAGTATCTGTGACCAATAATTAGGTGTTTGCGACCAACTATTTAGGCGTCTGTGATCAACTATTTAGCTGATTTGTGACTAAATATTAGGTGTCTGACTAAAAAATAATTTGTAACCAATAAATTGTAACTTATGTGACCCATAGATAAAATGTGACATGTAATTTGAATGATCTGTTACCTCAATAATATGTGACCTACAAAATTTTTGATTTGTGACCACGAAATAATCCATGACCAATTAATTTGACGATATGTGACCAGTAAATAAATATGTGACAATTAATCATGTAACTGTGACTTTATTATCTTTATTTAAAAAAAATTAATTAATTAAATGCATACCTGATTTTTGGATTTTCAAATTATTTACTTGATTTTTGAATTAGGGTAAACATAACCCCTCAGATATGATTTTTTCCCTAAAATAAAGCCCAAATGATTGACCCGAATGCTGACAAGGACTTCAATCTAAACCATTGTCTCATTACACTGTCCCGATATCATGAAGCACATTTGATTCTTCAGGATGTATTACACTACAATCTTCCGATGACTTGAAGTCGAGAAATCGAGCCAAGGAATTGTCGTTGGAATTGAATTCCATGCAGTCTCGACTGCACTTGGAAAGTGATTTTGTCGAGGTGCTTGAACAGGCCTTGAATGAATTGGCACCGGCCCTATCAACAAGGCTTCCGAGATTTCGTAGTTAGGAGACCTATTGGCTCATTAATTTCATTCCACTATGGTCTACGGGGCTCATTTGGCCCCATTATTCTCTCATTATAATGAAAATTTGATTTTGGAATAGTAATTTTTTGGGAAAATGTAGTTAAAAATGAATAATTTTTTTTTGAATTTATATGTAATATTATTTTATCGGAAAACATGTGGTTTATAAAAAGAGAAAAAAATAAATTATAATTTAGTGGACTGAACATTTTAAAATTTAAACTGTCATGAAAACCGGAAAACGTTTTCATTGAGGCCACTAGTCTCGATGGAAATGCCAAAATAATAATTACATAAATAAATAGAGACAAAGTTGATACAAGGAATTGCCCAACCAATACTGATAAAATATTAAGTGTTATGCATTCTCATCGCCATATTAAGAGTTTGAAATTCAAAATTTTGGAACGCTCAGTCATTCAATCAATATTAGATTAGGATGGCCTCCATTAAATTACATTTCATTTTTCTCTCATATTTTTAATTATCCAATCTTTCATAAAATAATATTACACGTAAATCGAAAACTTTCAATTTTTTTTCAACCGCTCAATTTTTCAAAAAAATACTATTTCATCCATTTTCATTTCAAAAATGAGAGCCAAGAGTAATCAACTTTTACACACACAAAAGAAAGGGGGACAAGGAAAGAATTACTTTTAAAATTGGAAAATTTTTAACGAAATATTTTCTATTTTCTAAAAAAATTATAAGAAAATTAAAAATTACTCTGAAAATTTTGAAAAACAGAACAGAAAAAGGGGTTACCATAGCCACCATCAGTTTAACATTGAGCAATATGTCGAGTAATTTCTGATATAACAGTATCAGCTCACAAGTTCCATTTGAAAATATTAAGATATTACTAAAAGACCAACAAGTTGACCCAAGATGTCTCTATCAACTTAAAAATAAACCAAAACCCAACTTGTTTATAGTATTTCGTAGTTCTTCGAAACAATCTGACTCTTTCACTAACCATATTCAGAGGATCCGATCCAGTCATACAAAACTATACAATCACGTCTCACAAAATACAGACTACATAGCAAAGGCATGGGCAAATATTTAGGAGAACAAACAAGCTATTCAATAGGAAAAAACGAAACATATGGGGGAGTTTCGCATCCTAGTGACATTTGAATCCACCACAGGCAGACAAAACAATGATAAGGATCAAGGCAATGATGATACCAAGGACAATCAACTTTATTTTCATGTTCTGCAACCACATCTTTCTTCTCATCTGGGTTCCTTGCGTCCTGAAATCTTGTGCCTGCAACTCAGTTCAAAGAAGGTCAACATTTCAACATCGTATGCAATGATGGGAAGGACGAGAAAACAACAGCTAAGATTCTAAAGTACGTGAAAAATACAACAAAAATCCAACGCATTATTGAGTTATTATGATAATGATTCTACAATTGTTAAGATCTCTCCTATGTAATTCCAACTAGAACAATCATAATCAAGGAGGGTACTCCTAGCATCTAGAAAAGAAAGAGATGCGCACTATAGAATCAACACCAAAGAATTGAAGAATGGACAGGCACTTCACATACCTGAGAGCGAAGATTCTCAGTTTTGTCCACCAGAAGCTCAATTTTCTCACCACGGTCAAGAACCTGCAGCGACAAAATATTGGACCATGCACCAAGAATTAGATTCTCAATCACCCCATATACAGCTGGTATATAGAAACTTGAGCAAGTAACTAACGGAATGCCAAAAATGGTCATGCCTTCTCAATGTTTTCCATCATCACTCCTTTGACTTCTGAAACCTGAGCTTTCACCTTTGAAAGCTTGCTGATCTCTTCTGGATGATCTACACAGTATTGCATTTGCTCCTTCAATTTGGGCCTAAGTTGTCGTCATTGTGCCAAGGAAAAGCAGTTTTCAAATGGATAAATGATCGAAAATAGAATCAACAATATTACAAGAATTAAAAGAGAAAAATACCCAAACTCCTTATTCAGGCTGTTGGCAACAGCTGTAGCAGCCTTTCCTCCACTATATTTTTTGGTAAAATCCTCCTTAATACGCTCGAGGAATGCCATAGGAATCTGTCTTCCAGAAGATTCAACAGCAACGACACAATATGCTGTCATTAAAAAAAAAAAAAAAATGTCAGTCCACCTGAATGAAATAAGAAAAAGTAAATAATAGAACTTGGAAGCAAGATAGACTCCACGAATTGTATATCAGTTGGAGGCATATGCTGTAGCATTCTGTGCAGATAATGGTTTATAAAAACTAAGCAATCTTTAATCAACATGTGCATGTAATGCTAGTGACATAGCTGTTTGCATCCTAAATAAGGAAATTGGTCAGATGAGAACAAAAGGATGATTCGTTAAAATATTTATGAATCAGTTTTGGTCATTTATGCGTTCCAAAGAAGCGGGTGAAGGGTTTATCCTTAAAGTCAAACAAATTCAAAGTCCACATGACGGCCATGTAATGAACTTTGTTTTGTGCAATGCCAATTTGAATGACAATATGACATTTCCGAATTTTGTAAACTAAGTAAACCACTAATTAGGGTCCAGTAACAATAAGAACAACATCCACATCGCTTCAAGGACCACAAAAATGATAAGAATGGTAATAAGAAGCCCGTCATTCTGAACAGGCGTGGAAATTAGAAGCATGAATTAGGGTAAAGTATAATAAGATAGTGTAGATGATTATGGAATTAATCGAATTGTCACATTATTGCATCTAGGATTCAAAGCAGCATTGCTCTGCAATAAAAACTATGAGGAAAAATATTTAGAAGGTTGTAATGGCTTAAAGACAGAACTGTAAAGATTATGAAACTTGCAGTAAACTATATTAACTAGGAAACGTGGATTAAACAGCTAGAGACCATGCAAATTCTCAATTTCTTCATGATCATGCTGCTCAAACAACAACAAATAACTCCAGAAACAAAACATTCCTATACAGGTAAAAACTCCAGGTACAAGGATGGGGCAGAAGATATCATCATTCATCAATCAACATTGATTACAACCCAAAGCAAATCACATCCAAACCAAAATGTACCTAAAGCAAAACAAAAATTCACAGTAAGAAGTGAGGGGAGAGGGATCTGTTTCATCATTTTGGATTTTTGTAAAGGTCGTGCTGATTTAACAAAGACATCATTGAAGTGATTCCACGTTCAAAAAACTCAGACCCAATTCAGATAATATAATGACGACTAGTTTCTCTACTGAAAATTCATAAATCGGTATTACGATTTCAAAACTGATCCAAGTATCAAACTTAATATAAAAGCCAGTAAATAAGGTTATTTTCTCGCTAATTTTTGTTTATCATTTTAAATATCGAATTCGAAACCAATAATGTAAGTTTTATTTGAATTGAATTGTTACTGATCTCGTGTCAACTTAGATCCTTTCACACATTACAAAAAGGATTAATCATCAAATAAAACAAAATGTTACCAAAATTTCAAAACTGATCCAGACTAGTAAACATTTAATATAAAAACTAACAAATATATTTAAAATGAGTTAAAGGTCTAAGCTAATAATCGAATCGTAAACAAAACCGACACCTAATAATCACACATACCGCCATCAAACAACTACATACTGTTATCAAACACATAAATTAACAATCTCATATGAGAAATCAATCGATTAAAAAATAGATCAGGACGCGGCTCTTACTGAATCCATCCTCCACGAGATAGTTAAAGGTGTGACCATCGCAGTTGTAGGTGAACCTGTTGTTAGTCGCGGGCAGTTTCTGCAGGCACTGAGAGGCTATGCTGGTGAAATTACCCGTAAACTCAGTGTACTCCGCTAGGATTACCGTTCCACGCGCCACGAAACTGTAGATCAACGACTGCTGCCCCATTTCTCTACACCGATTTTAATTTTTCTCTCACTAAGAGAAACCCTAGGGCTCGATGCAGCGTTCTAAAATCTAGAGAGAGAGAGATACAAAACTGAAAATAGTGGATTTATACAAAATGCAATAGTAAGGGAAAAAGATGGGAGTTTGATTTTCTTAGGTGTTAAGACTGTTTGTTGTTAAACTGCCCTGGTGAACTACGGAAATAACAAATATGCCATACATCCTTTCGATTTATTTTTATTACACTATGGGTCCTCAGCCTTCTCACTGTGTCTCAATTTCATCCCTAAATTTTAATTGGATGTATCATTAACCCAACCTTCATTGATTTTATTACAACCAATAATCAAATTGGCAACACATCTTTATGAATGCACAATGCATATATTTTCTGAATTACGAATTACATTTTGAAATTCGACTTTCATAACTCAAGATTTAAAACAAAGTGATTTAATAATACATCAAGCATGCAAAACTAATATGTTCAAAATTCCGCAGTCACCTAATTATTAAAAACTTCAAATCAGTAATTGATACAATAAACTAAAAGAGAAAAAAATTATATAGTTCAAATGAATTTGATCAGTGGATTAATGATATGTTTAATATGTGTGGTTGAATAACATTTAATAATTCTTTTAAAAAAATAATCTAAAATCATATATGGTTTTCTAATTAATATTGTGGACTAGTGATAAACTTGTCGAATGAGGTTATCTATGAAAAAATTTAAAAAAAAAAGAAAAAAAAGAAAAAAAATTGCATTGCAAATTAATTAATATTTGAGACTAAAAAGCTAATATTGATTATAATAGCTAAACTAATGTGGTAGGCACCTAATATACCTAATAGTTTCAGATGCAATCAACTGCCTACCAAACATAAGTCTCATTTAAAAAATTAAAAATAAATAAATAAATCCTTAATAATCTTAATGTACATTGAATTAATATTTTTTATAATAATAGTTTCAATATTTTAATCCTCATATGTTCGGATATTTGGAATTTAACATTTCAGTTTAACTATGTTATATATTCCTAATTGGCATTGAACTTTAAAAGTTCTCCAAATTGCAATTAAGAAACATCTAAAAACGTTTCAAAAAACCAAAAAGAAACATTTGAAAATGTATAAATTTTTAATGTTCAACGACATTCGAACTATTGGTTTCCCGCATCAACATCCGAGTGTTTTACAGATCTCAATTCAACTGGATTACAGAAATTTCTTGTAATCAATTTGAGATGCAATAGTAGCACCAGACATGGTGATTCTGGTTCTGGTTCTGGTACTACTCTCCTCTGCTCTACTTCCTTTATATTTTACCAGGAAATGTAAAGGTATTAAATATTTTCTTCAAAAAATCAGTGGGTATTAGCGTGGATTTTTTTGTTCAATTTGATACTCTCTTTTTTGGTGAGTCCAGGCAGCTTGCCGTTGACCTTTCTATCAAAGTAAAATCCACGATCTTTCTAATCTAGCATGTTTGGTAAAAATTAAAATCAAATTTTTAGTACATTTTGATAGAAATTAATGAAATATGTGGTTAAAAAGTTATATATTATGTGCCTAATAAAACGGTAAAGCTGAGTGGCATCTAGCCAGGACACTCGTTCTGATTCTCCCATGGAGGATTTCCTCTATTATTTATATTCAGTTTCATAGCACAATTTACGAGTCTCTTTTTTGTTCGGTTTGAACACGTAATGCAACCATGTTCTACTATTGTAGGAAGAATGCACTCTTGTTTTGAGAAGCTAAGACACTTTAGTTTCGAATTTAAACTAAGCGTAGGATGCCATTAAGAGCATGTTTAAACAATTTCATGTCCAAGTTAGTCCGGTTATTTTGTCTATTCCTAAGTTTGACTCTTCAAAATAGAGAACATTTACTTTTAAAGTTCTAATGATAATATTTAATAAACTACATATATCAATACTCTATGTTTTTAAATTATTTAAATCATATTTGAATTGATTGTCCATTAATATTTTAAAAAAGATTAAATAAATGATTAAAAGAAATCAATAAATATTTTTTTGAAAAAGGCAAAATGACTAGCCAAAATAGTGGAGCATTATTGGAGAATATGAAAATATTTATTCTATAAATTTTTTTATATAAACGTAGTCACCATAATGCATATGTAAGATCCTATGTACGAACCAGTATTTGGCAGGTTGGGCAGTTGGTTCATGAATTAAATCCCTTACTAATGCCTCTGGTCTCTTTGGCTTCAAGAAATCTTAGAAGTCATGTTCAGGTGCATTCAACCAGCGGTGACAATGGACCGAGCCCAGTTCACGAATTAAATCCCTTATTAATGCCTCTGGTCTCTTTGGATTCAAGAAATCTTAGAAGTCATGTTTAGGCGCATTCAACTAGTGATGGTAATGGGCCGAGCCTCACGAGCTCGACTCGCGCTCGTGGCTTAGGAATTTGGCTCGTTGATTTTGGGTGAGCTCGCTCGTGACTCGTGGGCTCGTCTTTTTCTTCTTCTTTTTTTTATTATTATAGAGAAAAATACAAATAATGTAATGAAAACACTTTTTTTTATATATAATGAAAACGAATTGTTTTTTGAAATACATTTACAAAAGATGTATTTTTTTATTTCTTTTTAAAGTAGATAAAATGTAAAATCTTCCTCTTTTATCCGAACTTGGGATTGGTTATATCAATTTTAAGTAGGTGGAATTAAAAATTTTACACGAACAACTTATTGTAAAGTATACAATTTTTTTAAAAAAATTAAATTTAATGACTAAAAAATAAATTTTTTTATTAATATAATTAAATTAAATATCACTTATATGACGACATGCAATTTCAGCGTACTTATCTTGTAGTCGAAAATGAGTGTCATGCTAATTCTTCACGCACATTAACGCTTCCAAAACATCTTCTTTCAGTCGACTCCTGACATCGATCAAAATCCTTTTACCTGCACTAAAAGCACTCTGAAGCAATAGTGCTAACCGGAGATGTCAGCAGATCTTTCGTAATTGCAGAAACAATTGACCAATGGTCCAATGTCTTTCATATTTTCACCAAAATTCAATTACTTTTTCTGAATTTTTTTTAATTGTTCTATCTATTAGTATATTATGATTGAAATAATAAATTAATTCAGTAGACATCGCATTTTGAGTTTCGGCCGATATTTGATGAGATGCAAATATAGACGACATGACATTAGATGAACACATTACAGTTGCATCATATCTAAATGTATTAATGCCTTGAAATAAATTCATTATTTCGACATCATCTTCTTCAATTTCAGCCGAAGGAGTACATGCAGAGGGTATCGGACTAACATTCGCACCCATTCTTTCCGCATATAAATCATACATTCCACATAATATTTGCTCTAAATTCTTATAGGCGATAGGTGTATCAAATATTAAAACTTTATTTATTTGATCAATTACATATTTAGTTCCCAAAATATTATATGGAGGGTTCATTGCGCATGTTAAAGGAAATAACATAGACAATTATTCCCAATATTTTCTAAATTTCAATTTCATAGCAATTTTAGTTTCACTAAAAACAAGATCATTTTTATATTTATGTAATATTCTTGCAATTATATAAAGACGTTCAAGCATCATACAACTTGTGGGATAATAAACGTCGGATAAAATCTTTGTGATCTCATAAAAAGATGTCAAAAATCGTTTAACTTTCAAAACTAAAATCCAATCGGATTCATTTAACATAACATCGTCATCACTTCTAACGTGTCTATTATTATAAAAGTCAGTTATTAAATTTTCAAAACGTTCACATGATTTTAATAGCAAGTAAGTAGAGTTTTATTTATGGCCTACGTTTAACAAATATTTTAGCAGTCGTCACCAGTAGTTCGGCACAAAAATCTTCAAATGCTTGTGTTTCTACTAGGAGAGATTTTAATATATACTAATGCATTCTTAATTCTTTGAAGTTCATCCTTTATATGTTTTAAGTCATCTTACACAATTAAATTCAAGATATAAAATACAACGAATATGAAACAAATACCCACCAAAATCAGGTTGAAGCGTCCAACACAATTTATCGACGACTACCTTATTAACACTAGCATTATCAAAAATAAAAGACCGAATTTTAGTCTTGCAATTATATTTTCTAACAATACTGATAATAACATTATATATATTATTAGTATTGTGAGAAAACTCAATAATTCTAAAAGCAATAATTTTCTTATGCATGCACGAAAGTGGATCTATATAGTGTGCGGTTGCAGCTATATATGTTCTTTTATTAACCCCTTCCCATCTATCAAAAGTTAAAGATATCATACCCTCATATTGTTGCAGATCCATACTTAATTGTTGTTTTGAATTATTGAAATATTGTATTGTATAGGCACGAAGAGTGTTTTGACTTACTCCAACGTACCTTGGTTGCAGATTTTCTTTCATGAACGAGATAAAGTGTTGGTTGTCTGCAATAGCTAGAGGCAACTCAGTGGTGACAACAAATTTCACCATTTCGATTCGAGTATCGTCCTCCGAATACACCCACGTGGGGTAGTGAAGTCGTAGAACCGGTGCCTGAACTGCCAAATTGTAATTATGTTTGACCAGTTGGAAGAAGTCTATGTCTGGCCGCACATGCTTTGTAGTGGCGATTGAGATGGGTGGTACCGATTCCATTTTGCCATGTCAATCTTTGTTGGCAGTATTTACATACTGCTTTAAATTTTACAAGGTCATCGACGACTTTTCTCATTAAAATTAACTTAAAGCGATCTCAACATTTTGCTTGTTTTTTGCCCTTTCGCTTTCCCCTTGCATCTGGGACGTTTAATTCGACATCTTCGTCCTCATGTTCCGTTTGGAGAACGTTAATATCATCCAAATCAATTGAATTGTGGCTTCTCTGACCGTGGATGTGAACATCTTCATGTATGAATATGTCATTTAAACTGACAAATTCATTTGGAAATTGACTTTGCAGCGACCTAGGCAATTCACCATGATATGGCCCACATCTCGTATCGAATAAGCACTCAACAAATAAGCATTCGTCCATTCGTTTGATTGTTTATGATGAAATCCAAATATAATAACTAGAAAAATATAAATGTAGTGAGATTGTGAAAATTGAGAATTGGATGAATTGAAATTGTAATCAATAAACTGTAAAAATTGAATCGATATTGTGTATTTTACAACACAAGAGAGTAGGAAAAAAATTTTAAAAATAAAAAATAAAAATTCAATGACCATTTCGGTCACTGAAAAAGTGACCAAAACGATCACTTTTTTAAAAGTGATCGTTTTGATCACTATTATATAACGAGCCACTAGCCCAGCTCATATTTAAGGCGAGGCAAGTAGGCTCAGCTTGGCTCGCCTCTCTACGAAGCCAGCTGGACTCGCGATTTTACAAGCCCAAGCCACCTACGAGCCCTATTTCGACAAGCCAAGGGCTCAGCCATTTTGACACCCCTACATTCAACTGAGAGAGAACACATCACGGGAACGAATAATTATAATATAATAAAATAAGTTTTAAATAAAAGATCAAAACCATTGCATTCATTACACGATGTACCTTCAACCTGCCTTATGCTTTACAATCCATGTTTTTTATTAAAGTAAAGCACTCGGTGCAAGTTCAACTCTTTATTGACGTGTTATATTTATTACTTATTAGCGTGTACTTCTACTAATATCCTAGTTCGGAAGTGTCTTTCATAGATAATTAACGCAAGCCGTCTCAACTGTTTGAATCACGTAAAATTTCAAAATTCGTAAAGCAATAAAACTTTCAAAATTATATAAATACAATACCGTTGCTCAACTAAGGCAATGACAAATTTTCTCCATTGGTAGCATCCATTTTTCCCCTCAATTTTGTCAATCTTTATCCAATTCAACTCCAGTGGGCAACTCGAATTTGTTTTGATTGGTATCATCAGCTTTGTCATCCTCATCACCAACATCCATAGCAGACTCCTTCCTAGCATAATCAACCTTAAAATCATAATCATTGTCCATGTCATGTTCCATAGCAGATGATTTGTTTTCCTTTTTACGTCTTTTTTTCTCCGCCTTTCTCAACTTGGTGTTCAGCATGCCTTCCTCGGTGTATAGCTTCTTGTTTTGCCTGCTATTGGTCATCGACTGAATCAAAGCTAGGAACCTTGTATAATGTTACCAAAACTCTTTCTGGACATCGTTTGAGTATTTCCTTTACTGCACGGGTCGTAAAATGGGTAAACTGTTGTTTATCTTATAGTGGGTAAAGAGATTATCACAAGTAAAGAAAGCAATTTTATTTACCTGGAACAATTGGATCGTCTAATTTTTCGATTCTCTTGCAATTTCGAAGAGCAACAGATGCATCATTCTCAACAGATTTAAGCATCACGACCCCAGGGCAGTCCAATAATTTTACATGTTTATCCAGCTGAACTTCTTGCATAGATCTTGTCAACCCAGGAGTTGCACCAACATTAGCAACATGAGAACGTTTTAGACTGTTGATTAGACTACTTTTACCAACATTAGGCAGACCAATAACCCCTACAGTAATAGATTTCTTGATCTGCAGGCAAAACTTGCAATTAGTTGAGCCATGTAAATAGAATTAAACAACATAAGTTAGAGTAGTAATGGGTACCAAGTAAAATAGAAAATAATCAGTTACAAGCAGAAAAAGACAGGGAAAAAACAAAAGAACCTCATGGCTTCTTGAATAGTTCTTCAGCAATTTTATAAGCGTTTCAGCTCCAAGGCAATCGCTTGTTTTCAGAATAGTGCTAGCGTTTCCGGTTTTTCCAGTCTTTCTGGACTTAGGACCGGATTTCCACCCAAGGTTAGATTTCTGCTCCTGGGTACTGCACTTAAAAGCAACAGTGGGTAATTCCTCTCGAAAATACTTGAGCCACTTCTCAGCAGCTTCTCTTGGAACAAGATCTGAGATGCAAAGAAGTGTGTCAAGGTTGTTGCCTTTTTTTGAAGATGATTCACAACAAAAAATCCAAATGATATCAATGAATGTCTAAAACAAAGCATTAAAATATAATTGACGATTACAAGATTCTGAACCAAATAAAACATAATTGCGAAACAAAAATCACTCCCACATTATTCTTAAATTAATAAGATTTAATCTGCTCCAAAAATACATAATTGGGTTCAGTTCAACTATCAAAACCTTCACCTTAAAAATTGAAATTAACTCACAAAATAGAAGAGACAGAATTTTCATACCAATTTTATTGAGAAGCAAAACCAGATGTTTTTCAGGTCCTGCTTTCATCACCATGTTTTCCATGTCAATACAGCGGCTGCCAAGGGGATCTCGAGCATCAAGCACCTCCAAAATGACATCAGAAGCTTCAATGACTTTGACCAACTCCTTATAGAAAGCCCTCTCTGAGTGGTCTACATTAAACTTCAGAAATGTTAGAAAATTAAAGAGAATTGACAAAATCCAAGAAGGTCCGGAGAAATTCACTGTACCAAAAAAAGATATGTTATATTTTTCCTGCCATACCTTGTTTCTTAGCCAATACAGTGGAATTCTCACTGATTTTCCCCTCTCCAACAGAACTCTCATCTTTCAATTCGTCATCGTCCAATAGCCCCAATTTTCTCTTTTGAGCCTAAAGAAGCAGATGAAGTCAAGGGTATTACAAACTGGGAAGCATCAAAAACAGTTAACCCAGTAGGATATCCTAATATTTCAAGACAAACTCTAATCATCGCCTCTGGCGGCAACACAAGTACAATACAGAGATGCATGCTTGCGAGCACATAAGTCTAAATTTTTTGTTGATGAATAGGCACTGCACAGATAAGCCAAGATAATGTACTCCAAATCAACTTTACCATATGAAAGATAAGTCCACTGATGTTACAATTTCAACTAATTAGGACCTTGGAAGGACTAAGATTCAGCAAGAGCTCTACTTTCATTGAATTATTACAATTAATAGTTTAATGCATACTGTTCACAAAGACTTTCGGCATTGAGCTTCTTGGAGTCTTGCAGCAAATTGCATTCACAGGCTTTCAAGTCCACTGTGAGGCATATCTAATTCATAGTTTATTAAGAATTCATGTTAGGCTCTGAGGCAATTACCAAACTCTAATTCTGTATCACAGCCAACAGAAATTCCTGAGCACATCCACATTTTACTAAAAGAAGCCCGCAATTGGACTAAAATTAGCACTATTCCCAGCTTATATCGGATAATAGCAACCTATATGCACATACAAATCGAGGAAAAAGGCATTATAATACACAACAATAACTAGTTAACGACAAAAACCTTAAACGAAATAGTGTTACAGTCTTACAATATACTATGGAGGGTTAAAACTTAAAAAACAGAAAAATGAATAATTTGTCAGAGTACCCTTATCACTCTCTAGAAAATTTTGATTTCCAAATAACTGAACCCTCGAAGGAGCTAATATTCAGAAAAGCCTCGATTTTCACATGTCTTATCATCCCCAACGCTAAATAGGGCGAATACCAAAAGTAAAAATTCAGCAGCATCTAATTATTACAATTAACAAATAAGGAATCATCAAATACTTCAAAAAAAAAATTAGGATAAAATTGATTTACCCTCTCCTTTCGAGCGGCTTTCTTCTCCTCCTGTTCCTGGATGGCGCGTTGGCGGCGAGCCTCGAGGGCTTTGAGTTCCTGTTCCTTGAAGGGCCAATCATTGGGGATTCCGGGGTCCTTCTCTGCCTTAGGCTTCTTGTTTATGCCCAATTTCTTGGCCTCCTTTGCCTTCTTTTTTTGGTGCTCCTTTACCTTCCGTATTATCTTGTACTTCTTCTTCAACGGCACCCTCTTGCTCTTGCTCTCTACACAAGCCAAAATACACCAAAAATCAAATCAAATTCACACACATGTACATGAATGCACAATTATTATAGTAACCGCAGTACATTATAAGAATGGAAATACCCTACTTTTGCTTCTCTTGACCATGCTTGAAAGTTCGAGCTTGGCCTGGTAGAGATACAAAGGTGGGGAGAGAACTGAGGGGCTTAGGGTTTGAGGAAATGAGCAAGATTAGGGTTTTGGGATTGAAACTGGGTCCACATATAAACCGAGTGTCCACAGAACCGGGTCGGATCCAGATGCCGACAGAGCCCAGGCCAGCGTCGGCCCATATACCCCCCAATTTTTTAAGGGACAAAAAATCATATATACCTTACAGTTATAAAAATGTTCAAATACTACTGTATTACCAAAATAAAAGCAGAAATTACTAGATAAACCAATATCATTTCCAAAAGTACTGTATCATAAAACTTTCCATATTTCTTTCGTAACTGCAATCTGTAATGATAGTGATAACAGATGCAATTAATTGCCCTCAGGGCACATCTCCAAGTGGTAAAAGGGGAGGGTGAAGAAATTCAACTTTGCTTGAGACTGCTGCGTCAAGGGTTCGAATCCTGAAATATGGATATGGCTCTTGGGTAAGTGCAAGTGTACAAGCAGCCTTCCACCCTGTACCCTTGGAGGCATAACCTGCGATTTACCTCCCTCACGATGCTCCAGGGCAGGGGTGGTGGGGGACCTTTAAGGTTATGGTTTAACCTTTTTATTTTTTTATAACAGATGCAATTAATTTGATATGCTATAAACATGCGAATTCAAAATTCAAATCAATTTTGGATGCAGATTAACATCAGCAATGTTGATTTGTCAAATCTTTCTCCAAAGAGTGAGATAAATTCTTTTCAGGTAATTTCTATTTTGCACATTCATCTTTAATTTATTCCTTGTTGATTTCTCGTCAAGATTTTCGTGTTCCAGGTATATGTAAATTCCTTAATGTCCTTGATTCGCTGTTATGTAAAACATGACGTCTGATTTATTCATTTTTACTTAATTTTCTGAAAATAAATTATGCTCGTGATTTTCGAATGCTCTGTAATGTAATTAACAAATATGGTTATTCTTTTCTTTGTTTGATTTGATACAAGATAAATTGATATAGATCGCAATATCTTAATTTTTTCTGCATACAAGAATTTTCTACACATAAATTTCTAATTTCTAAATAATAAATTGGGTTTCACATTCAAAGTATGCTGTTCTCATCTCACAAGTCAGTACACTGTAATCAAATTCACCATACCTTGATTAATTGCACATTCGTGTTCCACATTAAAACGTGTTATCTAAAATATTTCACATATTATCAGCTTCTTGTTCAATGTTATACATGATGTTGACATTGATCGCTAAATCTAGTGATCAAATTTTGCTTTGATCCTTGAATATCACATCTTTACATTTCGTCAGTGATATCATAAATTATTATGATTGATCACTAAACCTGATTTTGCTTGTTCATCCAATTTCCCAGATCTTTTATATGATCTATTATTAATTGGTAATCTTGTGGCTGCATATTTTTTGTTGTTTAGCGCACAAGTTGTAACATATGTTAGAAGATATGAATGTGTAGTAAGATATATTGAATTATATCTTCATTCCAGATATATATTTTAATTTTTTTTCTAACTATATTTTTTTATGCAGTTATGAACTCCATCAATGTCTTCATAACATGCAATGGGAGCACATTTGGACTTCTATTATACAACGGATGCAAGTATGGTGACCTTATTGAGATGATATCTAGGGAGATGAAAATCGATAAAAGGAATGCTTGCTTGAAAATTGAATATGATGAGGTGGTAATATGGCATCAGTAAGGATAACAGACGACAATGCACTTATTTTCTACATGGAGCTTAGGAGGAAGGATTCTTGCGTTACCGCTTATGCATTACCCGTTGAATTGGTGAAACTGTCGAACCAATACACAGATGATCTTGATCGTGAACTGGAAAGACTACTTTTGCACTACCAGTTTAAGATTTGAATATGTGTTCATTATGAATTTGAATTAATGAAAGCTGGAATGCAGCGTATTTATTGGAATAATTGTTTAATATTGATATTCTCAATGAAATATAATGATAAACTCCATTATGTGAACCGACAAAAAGTGATTGTTTCATATCTCATCTTCATTATTCAACTAATATAATTAGTATTGTTGATCACGCAAATTGGACCCTCCACGTGGTCAACCGATAGCTGTTTCACGTATTTTCCCCTGTGCACAGTCAACACACGGTCAGATGCACACGGCCGGAACCAGCGAGGGTGGTGCCAGCTGCATATACTCTGACGGTCAAGTTAATCTCAGGTGACCGGAACAATATCAACGTTGTGCAAAATAGTGGGGAGAATAATATATATTTGCTCATTATGGAAAACTATGTTGTAAGAGTTTCATTACCTTTACCTCTTGTCAAATCTTGGGTATTTATATGTGAGGTGAACCGTTGGATATAAGACACGTGTATGCATCTGACGATGTGAGGCGTTTGCTCATATGCGTCAATTAACCGCGTCTATAGAGTGGGTGGGTAATTACATCTCTCGAGTTGAGTTGACATAAAGTTGATATGTCACATCAACTAGGTTCATGGAGACGTCAAATCAATTAAACCTTCGGGGCAGAAAGGATCTTGACATAGATCTCTTTTTGAGATTGGCGATGGATCGTACTGCGCCTCGATTTCAGGGACGAGGACGCTTCGATCGACTCAGTAGATTGTCTGTGCCTCGCAGTTGAGTTGACATGAAGTTGATACTCACATCAACTACACCCTTGGAGACGTTAAATCAGTTAAGTTTTGGGGGCAGAGAGGATCTTGACACAGATCTCTTTCTGAAAGTGGCGGCGAAAGGAGAACCTTGGAGTGAATTGCGCTTCGGCAGGTTCGGTAGGATTGTTTCGATGGAAGAAGTCACTTCGGAAACACTTCGAATTGGTGGTGGACACCTCGTATAGTGTGGTAGACACATCGTATGGTGCAGTGGTGAAATTATCGGTGGGGGAAGTCACTTCGAAAACACTTCGGGTTGGTGGTGGACACCTCGTATGGTGCAATGGTGAAATTTTCGAAGTGGTTCTGATAGGGGCGTAACAGTGGTCCCCCCAAGTTCAGGCATGAATATTTATATCATGGATGGACTTATTTTTCAGATCGAGATGTCTGCCTTGGTTTGTGATAGAGAACTGGCGTGGAAGAACGAAGTGTGTAGATGGGCCGAGAGCTTGTGGGTCGATTTGTGCTCATCCGTTGCCGATGCATTGACCCAAAGGACGACGCTCTGGGAGAGGGCTAAATCTTTGTAAAGCTTAGGAGAAACGCAGCTAACGAGGCGATCACCGATAGGAGATTCCACGTCAGGTACGTCTAAACTTTGTAAAGCTGAGTGGGCAGCTCATCTGCACCGATGCGCTGACCCTTAGGGGACGATGCGTTGTGAGATGGTTAAATCTTTGTAAAGCTTAGGAGGAACGCAGCTACCGAGGCGATGACCCACAGGGGACTCTGCATCAGATGCGTCTAAGCTTTGCAAAGCTATATGAGGAGCTCAATCCGAGGCGGGCATCTCTGACTTTAAATGATTTGATAGCTGTCGCGTATTTTCAAGGCGATAGTTGGGTGCAATGCCCATTCCTAGAAAAGGCTGCTACAGCTACTTATTGTATATGGCTGATGGTGATCGAGGCAACACGTTTCACGTGAGCGTGAAGGTCACAGCTAGATCTTAGGCGTATATCAAATCTGGCGTTTCATTTCAACGGCCTAGATTGATGATGCAACGGTCGGCCTAGATTGATAGCATTTCAATCAAACGTTGGAGATCAGCCGGGACACTCTATAAAAGGCGGACTTGAGCAGTTTTTGAGCTTTTCACTTTTACGAAATCAAAATCCCCATTTACTCTCAAAATCTTTGCATTTTCCGGCGATCTTCAAGCACTTTCCAGCAAGAAATCCTAGTTTTTGATAACTTACATTGTTTCTTGACCATTTTCAGCTGCGAGACACTCCATTTCGAAATTTACAGTAAGTATTTGAAACTTTTCATTTCTGAAAATAGCTTCTGAGAGTAGTGGTAGCTTGGGGAGGGGGTTGGAGCTAGTGAGGATGGACGAGCCCATTTTGGCGACCTCCGCTGACCTAGCCGAATCGGTTACTGGGGGAGAGAACATATGGAAGAGACCAGATAGCCCAGTAGACACATCTGTACATTGGGGGGCATCGGATTACCCATCTAAGCTAAAGGGTGCCGACCTAGAAAGAATTAGAGGCTGAATATAGGATCCCAGATAGTGTAGATTTGATCCTTCCAGAACCTGATGAGTAGCCTGCTACCCTAGGCCAAGGTGTGTGGCAATCTGCGAGGTGATCCTTAGGGCGGCTTTAGGCTCCCAATTCACTCTTTCTTCCGTATAGTACTTAGGTCATACGGCTTAGCTCCTATCCAATTGAACCCGAACTCCTGGAGCCAAATTGTGGGCTCCTGGATGTTGTGTAAGGAGGCGTCGCTTGGAGTAGAGATGCCTTTTTCTGTATTCCAGACCCTATGAATCCCCAAGGTAGCTGCTGAGGGGGATAAGACTAGGGGTTGGTACTACTTGACCTCATGGGGTTCCTACACTTCATTCATGCTTGATCTACTGAGCTCCATTAAGGAGTGGAAGAGCTCGTGGTGCTGGGCTGTCCGGAAATGAGACACGATGGAGAGGGACCCCCTGGCACCTTTTACGGTCTCCCCAAAGTATTCAACACTGAGTGAGTACTGTGGCTTTATGTTTCTTGTTTATTCTTCTTCGGTTCGTTTCTTAACTATTCTGTTTGTTTTTGAAGACATTCTTCTTCGGTGTGAGCTTTCAACCGACAACTTCGACATCATCTGCATTATCTATTAGCTGCCTCTGAAGAAGAGGTCATACCATCAGCTGATCAGGAAAAACATCCACTTCGTAACGCATGACGTGATGGCCTCTCAAGGTAAATGTCTCAAAGCGAATGCCTTTTAGTACTTTTCGAACTCTTTACACTTATACTAATTTGCTTGTTCCCTTGCAGATAACTTTAACAAGAGGCTGCCTCTGAGGCCAGACTTCAAAACCATCCAAAGGATGATGGCAGAGGTGAGAGCCCTGAAGATCTCCTCATCTGCGATAAAAAGCAGATTGAGGATCTGGTGG